ATTCACTGAGTAAAGTAGAAGCTGTTTCTCCAGTGACTTCAGGATTGGCTCATTTACAGCATTTCATTTATAAATTGGCCAATTCAATTAATTAAATGTCCTCATGCATTAGAAATTATAATCAAGTGTGAAATGTTTTATAGATATAATTTTTTTTTTCTGTAATTGAGAAGGCAACACAAGATATGTGCTGCAACACACAGGGCCACTGGTGGAGGGAGGAACCCTGATTGATTCAAGAGGCTCAGAGCTGAAGAACTAAAATTCTACAGTACATTTTTAACAGTATCACTAGGGACTGTTTGATTTGCAAAGTAACCCCTTAGCTTTCTGGATTTCAGGCACACCCACAACAATGGTACAACACTGGGGGTTTGTGGTGCTTTTTGTGGGTGTAGAAAAAGTCCATTAGCACCTGTGAAACTTGCACCCATTAAACAAAACAAAGCATCAATACTGGACACTGTGCTTAGTAGCTGCCAGCTGAGTGCACCCGTAGAAATTGCTAACAGATGAGGTTCTGCTTTTTCTATGATTAACACACATAGTATATCTAATGTCTTGTCATATGACAAGAACTATTTTTTGACACATGCAATTTAAGACTTAAAAAAGCCTAATTACACAGTGAGCCCTGTCATATGACTGATTATCACTGTTCTACATTTAAATTTGAACTCTGCAGTTTATATCCATTCCAGTGGCAGACAAAATTACCTATCTACAGCCCATCCTCAGCTCACTACCTCAGCTCATTCAACCTCTTGTTAGAAAATGACATAATGTGCTATGGAACCTGCCTGAAGTCCCAGGATGCTCACTGTACACTCCACAGAGGGCAAACAAAGGTTAACAACCCTTTATTAATCCCTGCTAACAGAGACACCCAGAGGGAGAGAGAGATAAAGAGGTAAAGAGACAGACAAAGAGAAAGAAGAAGAAGAAGAAGAAGAAGAAGAAGAAGAAGAAGAAGAAGAAGAAGAAGAAGAAGAAGAAAAGGCAAGCAGACGCAGTAACCATCAAAAACAAGGAAGATATGTAGATAGAGAATTATAAAAAGAGAGAAAGACACAAATAAAGACAAGTAGACAGACGGACAGAGAGAGACAGAGAAGAGAATTGAAGATGGAAGCTTCCATGCAGATTCCAGCTCTGACTCTGAGCCAATGTTATCGAACAACCCCCTGCGTAGCATGGCAAGATGGTTGACTGCTCCCCACACTCTGCCAAGACACACTCAACAGCATCTCTTTCCTTTCTCTGTATCAGAAAAAGACACACACACACACACACACACACACACACACACACACACACACAACAGCACACACACACACACACACACACACAGCGCTGTGGGAACGCAAGTTAGGAGATTTGAGCTGTAATTGGATCGGCCTCTATTTGGGGTCAGCGGTAAAAGTGAAAAGACTGGAAGGTTTTTTCAAATGGACTAAAGACCAGGGATACACTGGAGCACAGCAAAGGTCACTATCAACCAGTCCTTTGGGGGAAGTGTGTGCACAGGTGTGGGTGTGTGTGTTTTTGGAGGGGTAACAGAGGTAGGCTAAGAGAAAGGGGGGGGGGGGGGGGATTGAGAGAGACAATGACGGTTACAAGTGAGACAATTAGGAGAATAATTCAACTTGATTTGGTATTTGAGGCGTAGAATTTGAGCAAGGGGAAAACATGGGTATCACTTCAACCATTTCACTGTCCTCCTCGCAGAGATCTGTCGCTCTCTCTCTCAACGTCACTGCTCAACACTTAGTCCACCCTTCAATGCCACCAATCAATCGACCGATCGATTCCAGGGTACATGTGTGTGAAAGGTTGAAATATATGCAGTAGAACTGCACTACATTTCGCTTAAATTTCTACAATCTTGAGTAGAGTTTTGTAGAGAAATTTAATATCCACCACCTGCAAAGATAACTCAGTAGTTTAGCTGACATTATCAGATTATATATTCTATATTTTAGGTTTCTTTTCTGATTTTATATACATATTTTTTCCAACATGGGTGTATTTTTTGTATGATGCAGTTTTGCTATCTAATTCAAAAAGTAATTCATTTCCATTTTGTGATTTCCACTCCTTCTCTGTAACTCCTGACCCTTTTCTCTGTGCTCTCATCCTCCTATCTGGCCAGGTATAAACTAATCCCCTGTGTCTTTGCTGCAGCAGAATGTGCAGGGGACAAATCTGCTGCCTGTGTGTGTGTGTGTGTGTGTGTGTGCACGGATGGTGTGCCTCAGTGTGTGAGTTTATTTAGAAAGTGAAGGGAAAGAAACTGCTCAAATTTTATTTACCCACCTTTCTCTATGTTTCTAATTAGTTATTGTAAATTCGCTAAATAATTTAAACTGTCACAGTATTTTTGTGTGTCTTTTTCATGCGTTTCAATTCGATTTCTGGAAGACAAATAAGCAGTTTTTTCCATGCTGATCTCTGCCAGCCTTTTGTTCTACTCCGTCCTCAGTAAATTCAGTAACCACGGGTGAAAATGTATTTCAGGACAAAGACGGATTAAACTTGATTTTTTTTTTTCTCTCCCAGTTGATACGGCTGCACATAACAGGCTTGATTCTAGCTTGAGAAATATACAGATGCCACCAATCAATCCACAGATCGATTACATTATAGAGTAGACAACTGCAGATCCCCCCGTATTCTCACAGCAGAATATGTACCTGACAGAAACACATCAACACTCCGGCACATAGATTTGGAAGGTTACAAACATGCACCCTCAGCACATGCACGCTGCACAGAGCTTCTCCCTTCCCCGCTCGTTTTGTTTCGCTAGGCTGATTTGAAAGACATTTAATTATTGAAACACAATTAATGCAGTTCTCCCTGGGAATAGGCAGAACACACACACACACACACACACAGAAAGGCATGGGGAGGAAACAGCAGGCTACACACCAGCAGAGATTAACCGGTGATTCACATGCATATGCGATTAATACATTTAGATTATGACCGAAAGGGATACTTTTTTTTCGAAATATGGAGCTGCTACAACTGTGGGCCTCAATGAGGATTTAGGAGGTCATTATCTAAGTTGCAGAGATAAAGAGATCATAAATGGATTGAGTGAATGAGACTTGTGAAACACTACATTGTTTATTATTGACCATGGTTTGGTATTACAAATATCATATTAAAAAAGCTATTTGACAATGGACAACTTTGGAAAAAAAACATTATATTCGTATAAGGATTTATAGAGTGTTTGTAATGCAAAATGATCTAAACATAAAGACATTAGTGGTAAAACTGTGATGGCAACCTACAAAAACTGGTGTATACATATATTTTTTTATTTGTTTTTCTCTGGTATTTATATATCTGGAATGTTTAACCTTTTCTATACACTAGGCTATATAATTCCTGTGATTTAACGTGAAGTGCAAAATACACCATAATATTATAATTTTGTATTAAAAGAGATGGATCTCAGAGAAGCTACCTGAACCAGCTGTAGGCTCTGCTCCTTCATGAACATGAACATACACACACACACACACACACACACACACACAGACCTGCATGAAGGAATAACAAGTGGTGTGTTTGTGTGTGGGGTGGGGATAGGGTAGGACCATACTACAATCTGCCTCATTAATTCACACACATTCACTCACTGCGCCTATGCCAGTATTTCAAGGACAAGAAGCACACCGCAATGCCTGAGCTGGTTTCAGTAAAAAACAAAACAAAACAAAACAACAACAACAACAACAACAACAATAAAAACAACAAAAACAAACAATACATCGTAGACCACCGACAAAAATTAAGCAAACCTGGGTGGTGGACAAGCGGGTAACGGCTTTAATCAATAGGCTTAAGAAATATAAGCTATTTGGCTCCAGTGTGCGTCTCCACCCGCCCCCTTATCAAGAGCCCACACATGTTGATTATAGGATCAAAGTCCTTTAATACTATTCCAAAAAAATACCTATTACACCTACACATTCCTACACCTTCATAAAAAAAATATTCTACGAAAAACTCAGAAATTAGACATTTCATATGGGAGATCTTGCAAAAGCTGATCAGCCGAGGTTTCTCGACCAAACAGGTTATTCACATAAACCAGTACAGGGTTTATGAGTGAACCAGCTGTAGGTTATTGCATGAAACGGCTCTTACCAATAAACGGTGCACGGCAGGGATGGATGGATGGATAGATGTGTGCGGTCTCTCTATGCTGCTCTCCTCCGGCGCCGCAGCTCACTGCCTGTTCATTTGCCGCAGACCCCGCCCCCTCCACACCAATTGGCCCAATGAACGTCGACCAAAGATTGTCGATGTGAAACGAAATAATCCCTCCCTCCGATTTCCTTCTTTGCTTAGCCGAGTATTAAATTTACTTTACCATTATCATATAGGGTAAATGTTTTCGACTCCCAGTCCCCCGGCCTCATGCTTTGTGAGTCACTGAAATTGTGTCACAGATATATCGAGTTGTACGGCCCAATATTTTAATGCACCTGTCTGAATTTGACGTTCCTCTAGCTTTGTAACATGCCTGACATTAGCTCTCTCCCACCTAGTGAGCCTTTCTGTAGTTACATTCGTTTGAATATTCTTAATCCCTTTGCAATTTAGTTAGTTTTTAGCTGTTTATATGTAAAGCTAACTGACCATAGTTGCCATTGGTAGAGAACTATCTTGACCTACACTGCAACCGTTAATTTCGTTCTCTGCTAATTAACTAGCTTATTTTTGCACTTATTTTAACTCTTAGCTTATTTTCTTTATCCAACTGAAGACGTGTTTATTTAGTATGTTTTTTTTTAAAGTGGGACACAGCTAAATACTCGTACTTGCCTCCATCAACAAAAGCGTCGCAAAGGTTAAAAAAAAAAAAAAATTACCTGCACCTGTTTGGGATTTGAAGTCTATTCTGGTGGCCATTACAATTACAAAACATTAAGGACGCTTTTCGAAAGAACTACAGGCAGCCACTCCGCTCTCGACACCGCCCACCCTGCCTCTCGACTACAGTTTTATCAGGCAGAAAACTTCCTGAATGAGGTACTAACCACAACAACAGGGGCAGAGTTGCCTGTAGGACAAAACGACGGAACCATTTGTCGGTCGTTGTTGTTACATATTTTTTGTTACCGCTGTTTTATCACCAGGCTCGCGACACAGCTAGCGACATAGCTCTCGTTAGCTAAGGACGGAGTCGATCACCTGCTCTAAGCTGCTAATCTCATGTTAGCACGCTCCCTTTAGGTATTGCTCACTTATCCACCTCCTTGACATCGGCACTCTGCCTTTCCTCGACTCACTGGCACCTGTCTCACCGCAGGTAAGTGTCGTGCTATGAATGTCAACGCTCTCCATCACCGATATGTTTTTTTCCAGGTAGTTATAGGCGAAGTAACAAACTTGTCAGAGTTACAGTGGCTATGGCACTACAGCATCATCTGGCGAATGTTGTATTTTACATGAAGCTGCAAAAGGAACCTGTACTTGTCAAATAGAGAACTTTTTACTCACAGTTCTCTCAGTGGCTGCCATAACATTTCAGGTGGATGCAAGATAATGGTTCAAAATGAATACAACAGCAAAATAATGGCCTGTAAATGCCAGCCCTAGTCTGTTCAGTGTTTATGCAGTCAGCGAGCACTGTGTCCGTGTGGCTTTAAACTTATCTGGATTGTAAGGACACATGCAAAACAGTGGTTGCAGTGTTGCCGCCATTTACTGTTGTGACTAGTCTTTGGTAAAGTGCAGGTGTAACTAATAACGTTAATTAATGTTTCTCTTCTCTGCCATTAACCCTTTAGTACTGAAGCAGAATGCACAATACCAGACCCCTGTTGCATATTATTAAACTAATGTGATTAAGATTGTGTTACACTAGTGTTTGACAGTTTTATCAACCATATGCAAATACATAGCTACGAAAATAAGTCCTATACACAGAGAGTACTGTTACCTCTCCACTCTCCAGTCTTTACAGTCTCCTACATCTATGAGTGAAACCTTGGCCTTTGTTAAAGTGTTGTTTACACATTAATCTACAGAAAATGGACTAAAGCCTAATTGATGAATTGTGGTTTGACACAACCTTATATGAATTTTGGGAGTTACCCAAGATTGTACTAATTGCCTTTCCAAACTTATCCACAGCTATCCCAAAGTTATGTAATGTACTTTCACAAACATTGGATGTAAATTTATCCCCATGTTGAACAAAGAAAAAACTCTGTCTAAACTGAATCCCAAAAGTAATGAAGCACAGGAAAACAGTCTCCACAACAGAATGTTTAAATGAATTTATTAGAATCCAGCTGGATTAAAGTACATTTGTTTAATGTTTCTAGTATTACAGAAAAAGGACTCTATATTAATAGTTTATTGCGTCAATGTTTCGGGTATTTCTTTAATCCTGTGGCAGGGCGGTCTGTTACCATGTCAGTTAATGTCTCTCAGTTGTAGCTGTTGAGGACACTGACCAATCCTCAATTTATAATCCTAGTTAGCAATTGGTATTAAGAAACACTGGCACAATGGACGCAGTTATAACCATAATGTTTGTGCATTAGTGGGTGTCAAGGAGCAAAGTGAAGCCTCAACATAACTAAAGTGCCTTCCGATAGTTGGAGGTAAAAGGTAGGCTTCAGTTGTTGTCAGATCAGCAGGTGATGACTCATTGTAATTTTGAAAAGACACACTCCTGAACAGAGACTTGGTATGTAAATTAGTCTCCCTGCCCTCTAATAAATGATCTGTATGATGAGTAGAATGAAGAATGACGTCATTGTAGATCATGTGAAGGTAATAAACAGTGGTTGAAGAAGAACTGGTCCTGGAGGCGTCACATGTAGGCGGGTGTGTGTGAGTGACTGAGACACAACACAGGCCAGTGAAAGAGGATATCATTGATATTTTTCTCTTATTTTAACCATCAGGATTCACTGCTTCCTTATGAGAAGGCTGAGGTAAATATTCATATAATGTGGAGGCCAATGTTCTATATTTATCACAGTGACATTTTTACTGCAGCAGTAATATTGGAGAGGTTGTCCTTGTTCAGGTATGACTCATGCCAGTTTCTCACCATTGCACCCAGTGGAACAGTAAACTACACACTTTGCAGTGCGGCTGTTATGTGATGATCATGTCTGTGACTGAAAGGCTTTCTGGGAAGTAGTGCACATGGGATTTTATAACATGCAATGGATCGAATAGAGCTGGTGCACTTTTGGAAGCATTATAAAAAATGTATTTCTTGAATTTATTCCATTTTTGACTCACCAAAATTTATCTTCCCACTTTAATACAACATTTAAATACTTTTGCATTTAAAGGCATCTAAATACTGCAATACTTTTTTTTTAAATCCCTGACTCTGTCATTTCCATCCACCACCAACTATATCTCCCTGCTTGTTCACCTGTCTCGCCTTCTTCTTCAGGTCCTTGTCTGCTCCCATTCTGTCAGTCTCCGTGAGTGATTGAATGCGGCGAGACTGGCATCAGTAGACAAGCACACACACAGAGGGCCATTGATTGGTCAAGGATGACCATGGATGACATGAAGAATGAAGCCGACACCACCTCACTAGTCTCCATGGCTCTCTACACTGTGATGTATCCCGTCTTTAACCAGGTGAAGAATGCAGAGTTTCAGTTGAAGTAAAAACAATAAAAACTGAGTAAACAAGGCCAAGGTTTGCTGCATGAGAAAGAAATCTCGATGAGCCTTGTTGTAAATATTCAAGTGTAGCAGAAGGAGGTTGCAGTATTTGTCTAATGAAAATGCTGGTTGAGGATTGCAGTGAATAGGATTTTTTTTTTGCCAAGTTCAGGTCTGTGGTGTGCCAGGATAAAAATGCTAAATAAAGTGCTAACAAGGATATATGACAAACCTAGAGTAATGTGAAGTGACCAGACTGCTAGTGTCTTCTGAGTGTATGAGAAGTGTATATATATATATATATATACTGTGCTTGCAGGTTATGTTTTTCCTTAACTTACGCATATAGACTAGGTTTCTTGTGTTTCCATTATATCCATGAAGTTCAGTGGAGTGTGTATATTTAAGATCTCCTTCTTGTATATTTACCAGTTTTAAAAGGAAAAAGGTATTTATCTTTGCTAATTTTTGGCTTCAAAAACTGGAATTTTGAAAACAAAATCTGCAAATGTAAATGGTACACACCCAGACATGGCAAACTATAATTTACTCAGAGCTCAAAATAACACAGGAAGTGTCAAGAGGTGCTGTGCAAATGTTAAATCAAAACTGACAAGACAAAGAAAATCAATAGAGAATACTGTATGTGGTGGCGGCACAAACTTGAGAACACAACAATGGGCTTCATTTATCAAACAAATTACATTGCAGTTTGTACTGAAAACAATTTAAAACCGACATCTATGCTCTTTATGTAGCAAATCAATGGATAACACACACAGAGCACACACTTAAAGAGCAGGGCTATTTTATATTGTACCACCAGAACAGGAGTATTGTCTTTGAAAGCCTGACAAACACTAATTTTTTTCAACTTGAAATTTTTTTTACAGCCTCTGGGAGGCCTATGAGTTTGTGGCACTGACCATCTTCATTCCCCATCCCTCTCTCCCCTCATTTCTAGTCTGTCCACTCCTCAATAAAGACAAGAAATGCATAAAATTTAAATCGATTTTTCCACAAACATTTTTTGGTGAAGGTTGATCATGAAGAGATACTTAATTTTAACCCAACACGTGTTAGTCCATGGTGTGCAAACTGAACACTGTGAAGGGGAAGAAGTGACAAGCTCTGTAATATCAGAATATGAGCTCAGAGGAACTGAACAGAATACAGTGCAGTACACAGTCCAATACAATAACACAGTGTCCTCCTTTGATATTGTGGGTCGCCTGGCTTGTATGCACTGTCTGCAGAATTACTTTTCAGGACAGAGGAGAGTCTATGATAAGCGCTGAGCTGTTTGTGTTTGTGTGTATGTTACGGTTTGTGCTACTGGCTTATGTTTGTGTGTCTGTGTATTATGACTTGCAGTTGGAGCAAGTCAACTTATCGGCAGCGCAGACCTTGAGAGCAGCTTTTATAAAGGTTAGTTTGTTTACGTTTCATGGAATGAACAGTCTTCTTTCTTGTAATAACTGGGCCTATACCTTACTTTTTCAACAATTTCAGAACATCAACTTTCTGTTAAGTTGTAGATTAGATAAGTCCCATAGTTGACCAAAGCTGACTGTGATTACTATCAGTGCAACTTGTATGTTTGTGTGTCTGAAGGCAGAGAAGGAGAACCCAGGCCTGACCCAGGACATTGTTGTCAAAATACTGGAGAAGAAGAACTTAAAAATCAACTATAGTGAGTCTCTACTTCGCATGGCTGCGGACGATGTGCAAGGTATGATGCTGGGTGCTTGATTAATGTTGTGTGTGAAGAGTGAAGGAGGGAGACATTTGATGTGTTACATAGGAAAACCAGACAACTGTAACAACATGTAATTATGTCAAAAAGAAAGGCTTTGTAAACTGACAAACAGTAAGGATGCTTCAGCAGGCTGGATGATAACCACCTTAACCTAACTGGGGTTTCTGTTACTTTTTGTCTTATTACATGAGCTCAATTTCCCACTGGGGGGAGCTGTTTCTCCACAAATCGACTCATCTCCCTACTCTCAAATGTCCCTTCATTTCTGTCTGTAATTGAATTCCTTGTGCCGTGTACAGTGATTGATGGTAGTAATGAATTCACACTCGCATATACACACACAGTTTGGATGAATTTTAAATGCACCTCCTGCATGGCACATCCCAAATTCTACCTTAATACTGCCTTCGCTTAACAAACTAAACATTGCCATTTTAAAGGGTGTGCACACATATGCATGGTCATGTATTCATTTTATATGTTTGTCTGTAGACATGTGTTTTTCGCATGTGCTACGGTCATTTATTGCTTTATTTTTGTGTCACCTGCAGCTACAGTACATCCAGAACGTCTTCAGACCCTTTCAATTATTTCACATTTTATGATGTTGCAGCCTTATGCTAAAATATAAAAAGCAATCATTTTCATAAATCCACACTCAATACCCCATAATGACACAATGAAAACAGATTTTTAGAAATCTTTATAGAAAAATTCAGACCCTTTGCTATGATACTTGAATATTAGCTCAGATGCCTCCCATTTCTCTTCATCATCTTTGAGATGTTTCTTTTGGTTGATTGGACATGATTTGAAAGGCCCACACCTGTCTATATAAGGTCTGACAATGCACATCAGAGCAAAAACCAAGCCGTGAGGTAGAAGGAACTGCCTGCAGAGCTCAGAGACATTATTGTATCAAAGCACAGATCTGGAGAAGGCTACAAAGAAAATTTCTGCTGCATTGAATTTTCCTAAGAGCACAGTGGCCTCCATAATTCTTAAATGGAAGACGTTTGGAACAACCAGGACTCTTCGTAGAGCCGGCTGCTCGGCCAAACTGAGCAATCGAAGGAGGAGGGTTTTGGTAAGAGAGGTGACCAAAACCCTGATGGTCACTCTGGCTGAGCTCCAGATATCCTGTGTGGAGATGGGAGAAACTTCCATACTTATGTAATTGTGATATTTAAGAATTTTCTTTTTAATAAATTTGAAAATATTTCTAAAATTCTTTTGTTTTTACTTTGTCATTATGGATTATTGAAACTAGATGGGTGAGGAGAAAAAATACACTTTTTTTATTTTAGCATAAGGCTGCAACATAAAAATTGAAGGGGTCTGAACACTTTCTGAATGCACAGTATTTACGTGTGTTAACGTGCCTGTCACTGAGATCTGTATTTTTCTCTTCCTTTTGGTGTTTTCAGAGTTCATGATTGATAGACGAGAGCCAGAGTTCCAGGAGCTGAACGAGAGGGCCCGAGCTCTGAGACACATCCTCAGCACCATACCAGATGAGATCAATGACAGAGTAGGCTTCCTACAGACCATCAAGTAAGACAGCTCGGTGTGTGAATGTGAGTGTGTGTGCAATATACGCCAGGTTTATTTTTGCTTAAAAGTTTCAGTCAAACTTCCTGTATTATTTTTTCATCTTTAATATTAATTTGTAATTATTAATTGAATACACTGCCAGACGATGTCTCAAGGACTTTAACTAATCATTCCCATGGGTCAAATCTTTCTTTTTTTATTTATTTTTTTTTATAGTAAATTGCTTTGATACACTGTGTGTGTCTTCGTGATGAAGACCCTTGTTTCATAAAAACAAAAAACAAAATTCATTCATTCTATGAAGTGTAATGAGACAACCAGGAGTCAGCACAAGTTGAAAATCTTTCAATAGTTCATGGCGAGTTTTGAGGTTGTTACAAACACAGACTCACAGGCACAATCTACACACTTTTGCAATCAGTGCATACTTATGTTGCTAACCAGAGTGAATGTCTGTATTATGAGGACATTGGTTGTTTGACTGCACAAACAGACCCGTAGTTAAAGTCATGCGAATAATGTGAGTTGAAAATTCACTTTACTCTCTGTCTGCACACACCTTAAGAGCTGAAACACAAGATATGGTTTTGTTTTACTACAGCACCTTCACTTAGCAAAATAGTATGTGTTTGTGTGCAATAAACAGATTATCAGTAAAATGATAGAAGAAGAAGAAGAAGAAGAAGCAGCAAGAAGTAAATAACTGTGCTCAAATTAATCTCAATACATCCAGAGAGTGTTTGACATTCATTTGAGATTGTTGATCGTTTCTAACTGGTCATTTGTGCTGTGGTATATCAAGGAATGGTTTAGAAGAAGTATGAAATAATCCCAACTCATTGGTCCACTCACAAGCTTTCAACCGCATCTCACAGTTTTCATCAGCAATTGGAGCTGGGGTGTCGTCGCATGACCCAGGTTTAGAAATCAAATCATTAAAACATTAACAATTAATCAAAACATTAAAACAAACATGCATAGGTACTGAACTTAGTGTTAGTTATTTATATGTATGTGATGGAATAGCGAAGACAAACCTCCAAGGTTTTTTATCTTTGTCCACTGCACTATACACACACATGCACACACACACACACACTAGAGACGGTGGAGAGACGGTGGAGAGACAGTGAGAAACGTTTCATTTCCTTGGCTCACTCTGCCATTATTTTGATGGAATTCAATACTCTTAGTGAGTCACTGCTTAAGTTACTTACCCAGCGGACGGCTTAGAAAAAAAAATCAATTCAAATGGAATGCTACTAATTTAAGTTATGAAACGACAGATTTCAAGTGCATACAAGGAGAGAAAAGAAGTTGAAGGTGCAAGCAGTTTGTAACAACAGGGGAAGAAAGGCAGACAACGAGCAGGATCAAAGAACTGTTGTTTCAGGGTTATCACTGCCTGATAAAACCAGACAGATTTTGAGATATTGTTTTATTAACATGCACTTTATTTGTGTGTCATATCCACAGAGACATTGCCAGTGCCATAAAGGAGCTGCTAGACACAGTTAATACTGTCTTCAGGAAATACCAGTATCAGAACAGACGGGTAAGTAGATACATGAAGAGGGAAAAGTACATACACACAAACAGTCTCCGTGAAATAAGTGGAGCTGAAAGGCTGTCTGTATTTATTGGCTAGGCACTGGAACAGCAGAAGAAAGAGTTTGTGAAATACTCCAAGAGCTTCAGCGACACTCTCAAAACATACTTCAAAGACGGAAAGTATGACACTGTTTCTAGTTTTCTCTGTTCTTCTTCCTTTTCTCTCATCTGTTTTTCCTTTTCTCTCACACACACACACACACACACACACACGCACGCACACATGCACACATGCATACACACGCACGTATGCATACGCACACAATGTCACGATCATGTAAATGGTTGTTGTTTGATCACAGGCCAGCTTCTATCAAATTGCTACCATTGCTGAATAATTCCCTTGACCCATTTCCTGTGGATTCATGCTGGCTTGTATTCTCTGAAGCCTGACATTCTCCAATCCAGCCAGATCAAAATGTTTCCTGGATCAATCCTGATATTGTTGCCATGGTTCTCTGCTGTATGATTGACAAGTGCATCCTTGTGTCTATGTCACGGTTGTTTCCAGAGTGATAAACGTGTTTGTCAGCGCCAACCGGCTCATCCACCAAACCAACATGATACTGCAGGCCTTCAAGACGGTGGTGTAGCAGCCTGAGAAGACACACACACCGACAGACATTTTTATTTGAGAAAAGGTGATATGAGCCTGTGTAATTTGTAAAGACATTGTATTATTTTGGGCTGTATAATTTATAATTCTGTAGCTTTGAGGGTAGATCAGGTAGTTTGAGGTTCAAAGCAAATCAGGTTGACAGTAATTGCCAGGGATTTTTAACTCTCTTTTATGTTGTTCTTTTATCAGATTCTTAAGTCAATATTCCTCTATATATTTCTCTCTCTGTTCAGTACTGTGTAGGACTAAAAAAGTATAGGGGAATGTGATCATTTTTCATGTCCTCAAAAGTTTGGCAATTGCAAAAGTCTTAAAAAGTTACAATAAAAACAAGTGGCATTCAGTTTCCAAACACATTCCCACATTTTTGGGGTTTTCACTTCATTTCATTGTCATTTCTGGTTGTAAAAACACACACAGTGGTGTCTTCTACTTGGTACTAATATCTTGCCACTATCAGCATCCATCATTCTCAATTTAAATCTGTTATGTTCAGATCCTGTCAAGAAGTCAAGGTCTGGAGAAATGTTTGGGAATTTGAAATGGAGGCTGTGTTTGCTGTTTGCTGTCTGCTAGAGTGCGCTGCTTCATCCAGTGCATCATAAACACAACCCATCCAGGTGAGCAGTAACTCACCTGCTGTGCAGTCTGTCTTTTCACTTTAGTTACAGAAGTGTATGTGAAGTCTTCACATTCCCTGTATACTAACAATAGATAACCCAGTATATAAGGAATACATGGCTTGATCCAAGAGTTATTTGGGATGAGTTTATGTACTGGGATTGTGTGTGTACCCTGTCAGTTGTTTTTCCTGTAGGTCAGGGTTTGCAAAAAAAAGTTTAAGAAGTTTATAGACTTTTTTTCTTAATTATCTTGTGACCCTTCAGAAGGTGTACTGTATGTATTTAGACCAACATTCGCCTTGAAACGCTGGATTTATTGATTGCTATAGTATTGCTGATAGTATTGATTGCTGTTGTTGTAAAAGATCTACATACAGTAGAATGCATGGTGTTACACAAAGCTGTCACAGTTTTTGATCCGACTAGACATTTCAGAAATCACTGAGCAGCTTTTATTATAGACACCAGTTGCACCATTATCTCACACAGGAAGGTGCTGGGGCACAGCTACAACTGTACACACACCCCAGTGTTCGAGTTAGTCCCACTTCTAGTCTACATTAGGAGGTGGTTAAATGTCACTTTAATAGGTTTGTTTTAGGGACAGAGGGTACAGCACGAGAAGTTACACAACTTCACCACAAAAACTCCACTGAACATCTCAGACTGCCTAAATGTAATAAGACAATTATTTCCAGACAAATAGACATGATTATAGATGAACACAATGTTAAATTGATATTTAACAACTTATTTTTATTTTAATCCATGTGTCAAGGAATTTGAAGCAGCAAAATTGGAATAAGTCATTATTTTACACAAATATATTTGACTGAATGTATCATTTTACTTTTCTGTTGTCACTCTCTTTCTGATACTTTAATGTGCGATAGCCATGGCAGCGTTCCATCAGCCAAATGTTATTAAAATAGAAACCTGAAATTCAAAACAACCATTAAACAAAAAGTAATGAGACCTGAAATTCAAAACGACTATTAAACCAGAGTCATAAAGAGTGTGTTGAACAATCACATTTCTTTTTTCATTGCAAATAAAAGAGTTCCAATATTTGAGGAAGATTTTCAAAAGTGGGTCTCTTTTCAGATTTCCATTGTTGTATGAAAGTGCTTCATTTCCGCTCAGTTGCCCTTGCGTTCTGTTTTCTTTGATGGCACCTCTTTCCTCCCAAGTGCTAAGATCCGCACCAATTTTTTTCCCCATTCCAGCAACTTCATTCTTCTCCCCGTATAATAGTGGATTTTCCATGGTGGATTTGTGGTGGGCTATTTCGGGCTCTGTACTCGCTCCTACATGCACTGCTGTAATCCAATTGTGATAGTGTTAATTTCTAAAGCTTTATTATTGAAATTGCTGAGACCTAATTTTCTGATCCTGTCACTGTTGACGACCGCCATAATCAGCTAATTCAAGTTATTCCAGGCCATTAAGTCACACACAGGGATTGGTCGTGGTCACTGAAGCAGCGGGGAGGAAGGGAAATGATAACATCTATGTTGGGTGTGTAGCTTTGGGGTTGTATTCACGCCTGCAGTCACACATGCAATCTATTTGTTTCAGTTTTAACAAAACCCTAAGAGACTTTTTTTTTTTTTTTTTTTTTTTTACCTTTTTTTGGTGTGTGTGTGTGTGTGTGTGTGCGCGTGCGCATGCTTGCGTGTGCCTGCGTGTGTACACAGAGTGACCCACAGGATGCCTTCTCAAAGGCATTTGAATGACACTATAAAGCTCTGGTGGTGTGTGTTCTTATTTTTGTTCAGGTCCAGGTTCACATCAGTATTTTTTTAGTTGTTTCAATGCATGAACACTTTTATGAGTGGCAGTAGAATACTAATGTTCTCATGAATTGTGTCGCTGTAGCTATGGTATATGTGTGTGTGTGTGTGTGTGTGTGTGCAGGTTGTGTGTCTGTGTCAGGGACTAATTGTACCTCACACAGATTATGTTCTCTCCAGTGCCTAATCTGTGAATAGAAGTTTCTCTCACACACACACACACACACTCTCTCACACACACACACACACACATTGTGTTTCATACAGGGCCTGGACTCACAAACACAACTCTTTTTGACTACTTGGTTGCCAGGAAACTTAGCCTTAGAGTCTTTGAGAGTGAGGGATAATAAAAGAAAAGAATTGTGTGTGTGTGTGTGTGTGTGTGTGTGTGTGTGTGTGTGTGTGTGTGTGTGTGTGTGTTTGTGTGGGGCCTCCACCACTGTCTGGGCTACTGGGGGCAGTTAGTTAACTCTCTGCGGGTGTGTGTGCTGCAGCCAGGGCTGTTAGCATTGATTGCTTCTCAGACATCGCTGGCTTAGACAAACTTCTGGACACAAAGCTCGGGCTCTGGGAATCAGCTTAATCTCCTGCGGACAAGACCCAGCCAAGGCCAAGACAGACTAACCAGAGACTGAGGATTTGTTTGAACTGTCATACATTTTTTTTTTTTTTTTTTTTTAAATGGTGTGTTTCAGCACCTCAGATGCATAGGGACTCTGGGACAGTTTGCTGTGGACACCCATTGTTGACTGAAGGGATGAAATTGGATGTCTTGGTAAGTTTGAATGTGTTATTAACGGAGAAACTGTGTGTTCAGTTCTACTATATGGACTTTATGATTAAAAACCGGCTTGACTGAAGTGTGTACACACTGGCAGTCCTGTCAAGGTACAGCTAACTTGACAGTGATGTTGCCAGGCTAAGAGCCTGTCATTATCCAGTTACAGCCTGGTACTGAGGGGTTTTTTGGACAGTTTGACTGCAGTGGATGATACTCTGTCCAACTCTAATAAAACCCAGATAGAAATCCGGCAGTGACAGTTTCAAGAAGGCTGACTGAAACTTGAGGAAGGAGAGGGACAACACTGGTAAGTGGATATTGTTTTCCAGCAGGTGTGACAGCATTATATATATTTTTATTTTTCCATTGAGTTGTCTTGTAAAATGTACATGATTGAAAGCAGATTGAAACCAATGACAGGAGCACTGAAAAGTAATGCCTTTTTACTTCTGTTCAAAGAGCATTTATGGTGCATCATCTACAAATATGGGCCATGTTTTGTGTTAATTTTATTTAACTGTGCTTGTGTAATCATATAAAGACTTATGCCAGCTGCTTGCTGCAAAAGAAGCTAGGATTTAAAGTTATCACACTCATCAACAAAACATGAGCGAACTGCCCCCAAGGTTTCACCATTCTTTCTGTTTATTACAGTGGCATAAACAAATCTGTTGCAGCCTACTACTCATTGTCAGTGGTGAAAATAAAAGGTGGATAAACCATAATATCAAGATCACACTGCAGTTAATCACTGTTAAGAAAAAGATAACAGCTTCAGCAAAGCATTGATTTTTAGCTTTCATTACACAACCTGTCATCTAAATCTCAGCTCAGTGTGATGCCACTTCCAATGAATTTGTCTCATAAACGTTCATGTCGGGCTAAAAATTGAACTGAGGGTGTTTGCTGTCCTCCACTGCCCTTTGTGGTCTTTAGTAGAATGTTAAAAAGAAACCTTTCATCAACATTTCTCTCTTAGACCTCAAACACACCTTTAATCATAGCACAGGCTAACTTAACAAATCCGACCTTTTATTCATAGTATTATTCATACTGCTCATCTACCTGACTTCTGCATTTTCTTTCTGCATTTCACATTACCTGACACAACAGAGACTTGACATGCTTTGGCAACCTGCCGCCTCCTTGAACCATTTCTGAGGTATAATTTTGGGGACCTATTCACCCACTTTTGAAAGCCACTGAGCTGGGGGAAAAATTCTGTTGAAAATGAAAGACCTTAGCACACCATTCAACACAGTCATGTTTGGATAGAGTGAAAAGCGCCAACAAAAGAAGTCTGCTGCTGCTGTGACTTCACTGTATGATTATGGTGATTATGGTGGCGCTGTGAAACAGATATGGAAGGTTACTAAGGGATTACTCAAGCTGGGAACATCTTGTTTCGTCATGTAACACCTAGAAAGTGAGGAATTTATTATTTGACTGAGTCTTCAGCACAGACCCGCATACACATGCTGTACCTGTCTGACCGTGTCTGGTATGTTGGTGATTGATTGACAGGTGAGCTGTAACCATGGGAACCAGAATGGAGGTGGCACAGCTTGAGAGCAGGATGAATATTGAGGACTATAGAAAGCTGCAGAACCTTTTCCTGGTGAGTCCGTCAGTTTATTAAAGACCTCGTGTTAAAGCACATTTAATTCAGATGGGAAACAATTAAAAAAAAGAGTCTTATATTATACAGTATATGTCTGTTGTGTACCACACTCTGCTCGCAGACACAGTGCAATGTCTCATAATCCTGTTGATCTTGATGCAGGATGCCTCGGGTGCATCTCGCTCCTTGTCCAGAACTGAATTCATGGATTTGGCTTGGTCTTTAGTAGGCCGTGGCTGCAAGGAGGAATATGGCCTCCTGTTCGACAGTGTGGTTGTCACTCAAGAGCACCGCGGCCTCCTTCTGGACAGTGACGCCGTGAAGGAGGAAGGACGTGTCGACTGGGGAGGCCTGTGCTCTTTTCTGCTGCTGGAGCTTTCAGATAAAGTGAAGAACACCAGAACCAGTACTGTGCCTTGCTGGAAGCCCACGCGCACCCTGACCTGTCCACATCGAGACCAGGTTCAAAAGGTAAAAGTTCATGGACCTCTTGGAGACCTAAGAGAGGAAGGGTTTGTTATGAGGGTGAGAGCATGTTGCCCGTTTTAAACATCTGATCCATTTCAGCATGTTATTTAAAAAAAACATTTTGACATTGACTGACTGGAGAATCCCAAAATCTGCTGACTGGGAGGAATTTAACGTTATTAAACATTGTGTGAGGAAATGTTCAAAAGTATTAGGGTCTTGCTCATCAAAATGGCACACCTCTTTTGAGATAAATGGCTCTGGACTCCTTTAACATCTATCAATTAATATGTAAATGAAGTGGCTGGTATAAAGTGCCTACTGCTGTGGATAAAGTGATGGCTCACCACTTTAATCTTTCAATCCTGAGAATGTCAAAGTGTCAGAATGTTGTGTCAGTTGTTTTCCAAATGACTGGAAGGTTTTCACCCCTTTAACTTAGATCAGTCTAAAAGAGGCAGACAGACTAAAGTCACTTAGAAGATTTTTAATTACCTCCGCCAAGGAGGTTATTATTTATTATTTCACCTGTGTCCGTCTATTTGTTTGTCTGTCAGCAGGATTACACAAAATAATGAAATGATTTGCACCAAACTTTGTGGAGGGATGAGGCACGGGCCAGACAAGATCCAATTAAATTTGGGGCAGATCCAGATCATTTACAATGAATTTGATTTTTTTTTTTTTTCTCTGATGTGTGGTGCATGTTGTTTGACAATGGCCTTGGTGGAGTGCTGCTCTCCACTGAATGCCACTATAGTTTCTGTCTTTAATGTGTGAAGTGTGGCAGGACACAGGCAGGGTAAATAGAAAATGCGAAAAATATAAAGCTACACTAATCAAAATTGTATGTAACAACAGATCATATGACTGTGTAATGTAAAAGGGATTTGCCTGTAGTGACGAACCCACAGAGAATTATCATATGACTTTGCAATTTGCCTCAGTTCTACCTAAAGTTTTGGCAACTTTCAGCGGGTAGTTTTAGTTTTACTGTTCACAACTTTAGTGTTTTCTCTATAGTCTATGCTCCCTTCCCAGCACCAAACACCAGAAGAAGTTAGCAACTAGCCAGTGAACATGGTGTAGTGGAAAACAGCTAAAGAGCCACATATTTCCCTCAGGAGATGGTAGTGACCAAAACAGAGCTAAAAAGTTAAGTGAGTATTGGATGTACATTCATCAGGCAGCCAGAAACGTGACATCAAATTACTGCTAATGTTTCTCTGTGTCTGCAAACATCTTGTCTTCCAGTTTACATTCTGTCTTCAGTCTTCATGAATAGCTAAAGGTTTCCATATTGGAAGCTAATTGGGAAATTACAGCTTCCATTAACAGTAATATTTGAGCACCTCACGAGTTAAACCAGGACAAAACACTATTCATTTTGTTACCATTTAACAATTACAGCTTCAGTAGGACTTAAGTGAGACAGCAGACAGTCAGGTGAGTTTTTAAAGTAATATATACAGCAGGTAACAGAAAAACATGGTTGTAGATAAGTAGGTAGTTAGAATAATTAGAGATAATTACATGGCACACCAATCTGAGAGATGGTGCAAAGCTTGCAGTTGGCTGTGGTAAAATGACCCCGTCTGCAGTAATTACACTGGTAGTACATCTAAGCCCTGACCTGTATTCTATGAGTATTAATAAACCTTTTCTTTCATTAAAGATAGTGTCTCTTTCTCATCAGACACTGTCGGTTCCAGCCTTTTTTCTGCAGCTCTCTGTTTTGTTCTTGTAGTTCAGCCAATAAAATCCCATAATTCATTAATCCTCTTTGTTTTATTGGTTTCAGCACAGGACATGGCCTGCTCACTTCTATTCACTTGCATCCAATAAGACAAAGATTTGGGGAGGAGTATAGAGCAGCTATGAAGGAGAGGAAAATATAAAATAGCTGAAATATTTTAATCTCATTTTAAAGGCTTGAAGTAATTGATTTCACATTAAGATATTATAAACTGCACTGCAAAGAGTATTAAAGCTTATATGAAGGTCATTTTTTTTTTTACAAAAGTGTAAAGTAAGTAGAATCTTTCTGTTACTTTGCCCAGTCCCTATATTTGTCTAGGTAAAATACTGTTGCTCTGTAATGTCCTGTGGGCTCTCCAGGTGTTGTACATGCAGAGTTCAGGCCAGTATCTGACCGTGAGTAAAGGAGGAACTGTGGGGCTGCGGGATGGAGAGGACATGTCCCTTCTGCACACCCATCGACTGCAAAACAGCACAGTCACACCCAAAGATCTCTGGGTCACAGACATGGTGCTGCTGCACAACATACACAAGGTGATCACTTTCTGAACATTGCATAACTTACAACTGATCAGTCAGCCAGTTATTGATTATTGGGGCCATGCCTGGTTATGGGGAAAGATTCCAGTTCCTGTAACATAGTATGTTATTAATGGAACTGAATATATAAATAAAAAATTAATAGGGAGTCTCAATTATTGGTTCAGACATTTTACTGCACAGAGGTAAACAAGCGTTTCACTCCATCAATTAATTATTGATCAGTGGCTGTGGTTAATGGAATTGCAGACATGCAGCTTATGCATAATGTTCAGAAAATAAACATTCATTTTTCTGTAATGAGACCATTAATTATTGATCAATATTTTTAATTAGCGTTCTTTAATCTTCAAATTTGCGGGTGACAGATGTAATGCAGTTGCATGACACACATGAAGACCTTTCAGTCGTACATCGATTCATCACAGATATTGTCAGATCATTATTATATCCTACTGATGAATTTGATTGCTCATTATCTGCCTGTCTCTCTGTTCCATTCGTTATTTCCTTTTTCTCAGATGGCTGTGTCATTTACGAGTAAGGAGGTGTGTTTTTATGACATATTGTCTAAACAGGACTTCAGCTGCAAGTATAAACTCCAGGTAACAGGTGTAATCCTGCTCCCCCTGATAAAACAACAGTATATAACAAGATATAATGTTATGGTTCTGTTGGTTTGAGCGTTTTCTATCATCATATTAACTCCTATTGTTGCATTCTTTTTGATGGATATTACACACCAGTTCTCATCTTCTCTAGGGTTTGAAGTTTACTCCCTGGTGTCTCGATTACTGGGTTGATCCCTCTCACCCTGACCTGGCTGTTCTCACCATAGGGGACATTGGAGGACAGGTAATCCACAGACTGAGAAAAGTAAAGGAAAAAGAGACAGAAAGAGGGAGGAGGAGGGAGGGAGGCAGAACATTGTCAGGAGTCTTCATCTTTCTGCATCATCTGTATGTGTTCTTCCGCCCATTGCTCCATAACAGTGTGTATGTGTGTGTTTTCCCAGGTCAGTGCTTTATATTTCACCTCAGCTCAGATCTCTCTGTTTGAGAAACCCAGTCTGAGGATGGACTCAGATTCAGCAGGCATCATCCTATGGGACGAGCTGGTCAAAGGAAAACATCACTCCTGTTACACTGTGACACACCAAGTACACGCACCTGCCTGGGTTAGAAAAGGTAGGAAACACAAGCTCACACGCATGCATAAAATGTTCTGTTCATGTATGTTGTTATAAAACATAGATACAAACCTATTTTTTTCGGTGTCTCTTTGATGCACACAAGCACGTCTTTGTTGTAGCTTCATTTTCATTTCCCTCACTCTTCATTGTCTCGTCTCCCCACAAACACATTTCATATTGTATGTAAATGAGAGGGGTCAGCAGAAAGAGCGTACTGTACAATGGTAGATGTGTTCCAACATGCTGAAATATCAGAAAGCTGGTATTTCTAAATAACCAGATTCCTCTGATTGCTGTTGTTTGAAAGCATTGGAGATTCATGTTGGTTAATGGTGCCCCTAAAATCCTGTTATTTTTTTCCTAATTATCTGCCTGAGTTCAAAAATAGTTTTTAATAGTTGGATACAATGAAAGCGAGGATACAAAGAGAGACGACAGTGAGAAAGAAAACGGAAAGAACACACTGTGGGTGGGTGTCAGGGATGACAATCACACTTTCACCTTGACACCTGGGATGAGAGCCACTGTCTATGCATACTTTCTCGCTTTTTCAGTGTCACTACAATAACAGCTTATGCAACACCATGGAAATGCATGGGCGTGCCTCTGTCACAGATACACACACACACACACACACACACATACACACACATGCTGTGAGTCCTGAGTCATCCACTTTATAGTCTTGCATAGCCAGACTTTTGACTATTGGCAGAAAGTCACGGGCTTGAGGTCTGGCCCCCTGAGACTCCTCACTTCAGCTCAGTGTGGGTAACAAAGAGGTCGCTTAGTTGTATCTTGATTGCATCATTTGGATAGAGCCCCTCTGAAGAGTCACTGGGCTGTTTGATAATGATTCAGCAGAGGCAGCGCTCTGAGATTAGCTTGGCTGAAAGGGGAGATCCAGATAAAGGGGGAAAAGAGGAATAAAGTGCATAAAAATAAGCACAACAAATGGGAAAACAAAGGGAAAACAAAAAAAGGGGGAAATAGAGGAGACAATGCCAAAACATTAAAAGCGCTGGTTAATTGAAATTTTACAGGCTGCGTGTGCGAGTGCGTGTGAAACAGTAAGAGATAGTGCATGTTAAGGATTTCTGTGTCTGTATATGTGTGAGTGTGTGGTGTTTTCAGAGTGTGAGAAAGGAAAGGAGGGGAACGTGTGCGAGTGTATATGTGTGTGTTTGCATACCTCTGGGGTGCTGGTGCTGTTCTTTTGAAGTTGCCCACCCTGCAGTATGAGTGGGCTTTGTACCATTAGACATGGCTGGTTATCCAGACCTCCAAACCTTCAGGCTCACGGGCCACCAGAGAGAGAAGAGGGGGGGGAGGATTGGATGGGGTTGGTGGAGGGGCAGAGAGGAAAATTGAGAGGAAATTAGGAGGAAATTGGGATGGACACAGACTTGTAAGGACAAGGAAGGTGAGGTGTAGGAAGTGTGTGTTTGTGAGCGAGGAAAGCATTAACATATCTGCCTAATGTGGTGATCAAAGAAAGGAAATAGAACATTAAGGATAAACGTTCGTGTGTAGGTAACATCAAATCTCCCAAAATGTGCAGCGATTTGTTGCAGAACAAAAAAAGGTTTGCTTTGATGTAGATTCTAAACTCAGCCATAAAAGTGGCTAAAGCAGATGTTATGTATCTGGGTCTGCATCACAAATAGTTGGATTTTATGATTTGGTGCGTGTCAGTGAAATAGACAAGGCCTCATTAAACAATGATGAGTCATGTGAGGCTGTCTGAAAACCCACTGATCTTTTAATTCACGGGGCGGAGAAAAGATCTGGTGTATGAAATGTAATCAGACGTAATTATTTGCCCTGGCTATGCGGCCGATCTTTGACCTACGGCTGTCACATGCCATCTCACAACCCACAGTTATTTGTGCAGTATTTGAAAGCTAAGCAGCTTCTAATAGAGACATGTGGCATCCAATTTAGCTGTTCTCAGTCAAAGTGTTAATTGAGATAGATGGCGATGCAAGATCCATTACATTTTCTGTAATACCAGTGAGCAAATCAAACCGGCGTAATTGTATGCTGTGCTGAGCGCCTGTGGACTGGCTGGTTTACAATGCAGAAGGGCTGCAGTCAATACACATTTACCACAGCCATCTCAGAAAGTGGTTGTCCTTCAGAGGTCTGGTAGTGCAAGAATTTTGGCATCAGCAAAGAGAAGTATCAATTGGAAGAAATGAAATGAAATGAACTGTGTGTCATCATCAACATATGCTGCATTGAGGTTTTACATTATATTTGTTGGATTCAAAATGAATCTATTCCCTCTACTAGTAACTTCTGTTTCATTATTGCTCTGCACACAGCAGCTGCTTGAAAGCCAGCGGCATTTCCTCTCTTGAAAATGAGTTTGTACGGTTAGGATCAAATCTGTACAGATAAACATTTTAATGAGTGACGCCTATTGGTCTCTATCATATAAAAGAGAGAACACATTACTTGGGTTTTAAAATGACTTCATTGGCTCCCAGTCTGTTTTAGAGTGAATTTTGAAAATTTTATTTATCACTTTTTAAGGTTGGTAGTGGCTTAGCTCCTAAATATGAAACTGACCTCCTGACCCCCTACAGCCTGGATGCAACCTGAGATCTTCTGGTAGGTCAGTCCTTGCAGTTCCTAGAGCAAAACTAAGTAAAGGTGTAAAGGTAAGTAAAGGTGATAAGGTATTTTCTATTCAGGCTCTTCTTCTGTGGAATGACTTGCCAGAGGAGATCAGGGAAGCAAATCTTTTTTTTAAAGAACTCACTATTTTAGAGTTGCTTTTCATTGATTTTTATTAATGCTTTTACTCTTTCTCACATTTTTTGATTTTTTAAAAATAATATTATTAGCATCATTATTATTCTCTCCACTTCATCACACATTCCCCCATGGTCAGGGTGTGTGGATACTTCTCTAAAATGCACAGGTTTCCCTGAGGTATCCCAGACTACAGATGCAACAAAAATCATAACGTAACCGAGTGATCCGTACTTTACACGTTACAAGTCAGTTGCAGTTTATCGTAAAATATAAATATAATATAATATAAAAAATATAAATAAATAAATTGTATTGCTTTGTTCAGTTCTACATTTGAAACTAGCTGTCAAGCTGCTCATGAGTGTGTGGTGCTGATGAATTATAAACAACAGATTTATAAAACGTAAAAGTGAAAAACAGAAACTATAGACAAATATGTATTCTTCACATCCAGTTTCAAAACGACGTGACAATCATGAGCGGGCTTGTTCTGTACTCACTCTTTTCTGGATGTAGTGAAGCTAATTAAAGTATCTGGCACCCCTAATTTACATTAACTTTTTGTCTCCTTCCTGCTTCCTACAGTGCTTTACCTGGGATCACTGGAGGCCTTAGTGTCGTGTAGCACCAGACCACTGAGCAGCATGGTGATTGGCTGGAGGGAAAAGGAAACCAGGCGTCTACGAGTCACTTCTTTCATTACAAAGAGGGGAGTGTGGGACATGGACCACCACCGTGGGCTCAATCTGATAGGTGGGGGCAAATTCATAAAGTTCACATAAAGTTTAGTTAACTTGTTACGAGAAGTGCTCCTCAGTCTGTGAAAACAGTTTTATGCCTTCTGTGGGCTATGAAAGAACTTTTTGTTTTAGAAAAAAACAACCCTTATTATGTCAACAGGGGAGCTGGAGCATGATCCATACTAATGACGAAAAGTCAGGATATCTCAGCCTTTGATTTGGCCCATTCTCTTTTTAATCTTTTTCTTGTGAGACCAAAATCACAAATGGTATTACATTCTCTATCCTATCCTTAAGCCCTTGGTTTGAATAAGCGAAAACTTCACAAAAACAAAACTTGCAGGCAAAACAAATGCTGTAACAGTACTTTTCTATGCACTCACCAATACATAAAAAAAAACATCAGTACCGTCAAATGCTCCTTTAAATTGCTTGCAGGGGACTACAGACAGTATGGTTTCCTGTAATTAAATGCTGTTAGCTTCCCTGCTAATTTGGGACATTCTGATTGATTGTAGCCACAGCAGGTGTGGATCATCAGGTCTTGCTGTGGAACCCTTATGTGACCTCGGAGCCAGTGTGTGCGCTCAGTGGGCACACAAGCCCTGTCGTCGCAGTTTGCTTCATACAGACCAAGCAACAACTGCTCAGCTACTCCAAAGATAAGGTAGGAGTGTGTGTCTCTGTGCGCAGCACTCTGCTAGAAGAGATAATGTAATGATAAAAAGCCCTCTCATTATAATATTAATTGTGATACCTTGCTATAATTACTGCAGAGGAAGAAGGCTGCAGTACAGATGATTGGTAGCCTGTTTCACACATTGTAAGAGCTGAGCAAAAATTAAGACCACATTAGCCTTTGTCTTTCTAATGCAAAGAGGATGTTGGTGCTTGTGCTGCTTTTCCTCTACCCATTGTAGCTCTGTGCATGTTTGCCTTCTCTTTGGTTTTTCTGAGCAGAATTAATATTTTAGAAGTGATTTATGTTCCATCTGCTTTCTGCTCAAACACCATCTGCCATTGCAAGAAACTCTGAAAGCTTTGCCTCAGTTTCCTCTGGAAGAGTCATCCTGTTTGTGGCATAAAGCAATTTGGCAGCGTTATTGTGAATTCTGGCTAAGTGGCACTCTCAGGAATGATTGTAATTGTTCGGTAATTATAACAGTGTCTTGTGATAATCATTGGTTTTTATTGGTTTTTATTGTTTTTTATTGGTTTTTATAGTAGCAGGTTTGATGTTTTTTTTTCCTGTGCATGTGTTGATTCTTATGTCTTCTACCCCTACAAAACACGCACTCCCTATCATCGTCTCTCCAGGTCCTGTGTCTGTGGGATGTCTCCAGTCAGCAGTGTGTCCACCGATTGGCTGGTGTCTTCCCAAAGACACAGGAGGACACACACACCCTCCTGTTCCTCCACGAGGAGCATCAGCTCCTCTTGCTCTCCTTCAACAGCTTGCTTCTTCTGCTAGAGACTGTGAAGGAGGAGAAGAGGACCAGCAGCCATGACCACCCTGTTACCTGTGTGCTGTATAACAGTCTGTTCAGACAGGTATGCAGGGGAAATAACTCTCTGAGACATTATTTCTTTGACTTAAATCTCTCACTTTTTTATATTTTTAAAAAAATATTTTTGTTATATTTTTATATTTAATTTACCTTTGTCCAGAGGCATATTGCAAGCAATAGATAGGCAGGATATAAATATTGTGACCTGGATGTGATGTATGAGCTACTAACAATAAATTTAGTGAGCAGAAAACTCTCAAAGATACTGATGAATTCTACAGTAGTTGAGTTTCAAAGTTCATTCCTGACTATGGGCACAGCAATTTTCGATCACTTCAAATGCTCTTTACTGCAGATTTTGTTCAAATTTTAATTTTCTCTAAGCACTTCAAGGACAAGGTCCATTAGCTGATAAAGAGCGTGTAATATGATCAAAAGCTACAGAACAGCTACTAAATGGACCTTGGTGTGACATTGTTTTGTAAATTCTAAAATAGTTTCTTCAAACATTTAAATGCAAAAATATTAATGCAAATATAGGTTGTATTTGTAGATCAGAAATTATGCTGACTTCAGTAAACATCTGGGAATGCTGTCATGGTACTGTTAGACCTAAATTTAATTTATTTTTTATAACACTTTGGTTTGCAACAGTTTGATATAACTGTGGCATTGCATTGCCATTTGTCTCATTGTTTCACAAAGGGATAATGCTTTCTACCTTTTCTTTGAACATATGCATCATTATTTTGTTTTGTTGCATGTTTTGTCCCTTTTGCCCCATTCTGCGACAGACTTAGACAGCTAATATTAGTTTCCCACACAGTGGAGCAACAAAACACAAATAAAAAAACAGCTAATGCATCCAATATGAACATCTCTCATGTTATAAAGTGCATCCACGCTTGATTTTTTTCTTGCCTTTATTCCCACTTGACAGGAGCATTAGTAGCATATTTTTGTCCTTGGAGACTTAGCACAAAAATAAAGTGAAACGAAGCGAGGAGAGTGGTTTGGCTTTGTGAGAGTCATTAAAGAAAACATCAGTGGAACCTGCCCGTCTCACAGCATAAAACAGATCAAACTCTTGTTGATGATTGATATCCTCTTTCTGTGTGTGTGTGTGTGTGTGTGTGTGTGTGTGTGTGTGTGTGTGTGTGTGTGTGTGTGTGTGTGTGTGTGTGTGTGCGTGTGTGTGTGTGTGTGCATGTGTGCGTTTGCGTGCGCAGGTAGTCAGCAGTGACTCTGCCTCCTCTGTGATCTGCTGGCAGGCTGACACGGGCCAAAAGGTCAAGCAGTTCCATCGTTGCCATGGCAACGCTGAGATCTCCACCATGGTCCTGGATGGTACGCAGACCCGACTGTTTACTGCGGGCACTGACGGAGAGGTCAAAGTAAGCGGACAGACACACACACACTTGCTGATTCAGCTGTGAACCGTATCGCTGCAGGTCAGTCCTCATAGAGATGAAAGTCTGAAATACACTGACTGAAATGCAAACAAGGCAGGGAATGGAGACTCATGAAAAGATAAGACAAAGAAGGCTAAGTGGCAAACTTTTAGAAAACATTTCAAATAACTTCTAAGAATTGGTAACTACCTCTGAAATATGAACATTTCCTCGTTGACTTGTTGTAATTTGATGAGATGAGAGATGAAATTGACAAAATTAAACATAGGTGCAGCCAGAACCAAAAGGAGCTATAGCTCTGCCATTTAACCTCACTGACACCTATACATTGTTCTATGCTCACACCTTCTGATCACAAAAAAGCAGGATTTATACTTGATACAAGAAGTTAATGGCTGTCATAGCTTGTAGGTTTTTCATTAATATTTTAGCTTCGCATTTCACTTGTTGATAGCACCAAGAGGAACCTAAGTTGGATGTGTTGTACATGATCAGGCCATATAATCCTTTAATTACATTCCTCACAGTAACTGCTGAAGATTCACTTTGTCTCATTACTGAACTGTAGAATACTCTTGTGCAATCACCACATTTGTGTTCTTTCATACACTGTGATGGAGAGCAGCAAGTGCTTCATGTTGTCTTCACATTAAACATTCCCCACCGGCATCAGAAACTTGAACAAAACACAAACAGCATGTTCCAACCAATCGCAGTTCTTGTGGTCTTTGATGGCGTAGACCTGACATACATTCACATTTTTAAGGAGGTTGGTAGCTATGCTGTAACCCCTTAACACCTAACTGTAAATCCACCTTAAAACTTTTTAGTGGCCAAAAGAAGCAGAGGCTGTAGAGGGACACCATGAGTTCCTGTAACGATACACGAAACCTGCTCTATCTCATTTTCAAATTGGTTGCTGTTCTTACGTGTTGGAAAGGAGCTGACACTTTGCATAATGAGTGTTTGTTTACCTTTTTGTGTATTTTTTAAAAAAAAAGTTATAACCTTCTCTGTCTGTATATTCTCTAATTAGTGTTGTTCATAATTAGCCACTTAACTGTTAATGATAATAAGAATTTTGATCTGAGTGGTTATTCTCCGCCGTGGGTCTCACAGTTAACAGACTGCACAACAGACTAACACCAGAGCATGTTGACATTTTGCTATTTCTGCATAAAAACCAGTAGATCTGGCCTGTTCTTTTTAATTTGAGGTTTAATGCCAGTCCGACTCTGTGTGTCATGTGAGCAGTAGTTTGGCTGTTCACATCAGAAGATCAAGAAAAGGTCAAGAAGCGTATTCTACCTCTATTCTTTTTTCAGTCACAAGTTGAGCTGAAGTTTATAACAACCTCATGAATTTATAACGGAGAGCTTTTTATGTGTTCCTGCACAGACTGGCTTGTGCGACTTCTCTGGGCCGAATCCTGTCTTGCATGACTTTTTATTTTTCTTTGAGTTTCAAATGTGAATTGGAGTATAAAACATGCGATTCTTTGTGACTAGATAAAATAATTATGCACATTATAATCCACATAATCAGCCACATCAGCTCTCTGACCCCATGAGCCCTTGTGAAAATGCAACCATGAACATTCCTCTCATGTGCAAGCAGTGTCAGATGTACACTCACAGTGCTATTTTGAAACGAGCACACAAGTCATTTGTGACAGAAGAAGCAGGCACCCCTTGAGCCAACTAGTGACTAGATGTATCATCTCTCCAATCTTCATCAACATTGAACCCATGGTGTAGCAGTTAGTGCCATTCAGAATTTAAAAAATAAAAAGCAATTAAAATTTTGATCTTTTAATTGCAGTGTTCCCACTGGGCCAATCAGCATTTCTCTCTTAAATGTCAGGACACAGATCCAAGCTGCGTCTTCATGCAAAACTGGACAGACAATGTCAGATATTACCTGAGCTGTCATGATTGATGGACGTACAGTGGAATAGGACCAACGCCCCTCCTCAGTACTCAATTCGGAACGTTTTCATCACTTACTTAAAAAAAAAAAAAAAAAGCAGTTACACTTCTTTCATAAATGAACACGGCAGCAAATATTATACTCTCTGTTACATCTTCATTTTCCTGACAAGAAATTGCAATTGTAGTGAAGTAAAGGGAAGTAAAAAACATTGACCGAACACGTATCTGTAGTGACAAAACCTTCTGAATTTCCTGAGAAAGTGGCTGTTTTCTGTTGCCATTTGGGTGTGCTTTGAAATTAAGCACATTTGGTGTTGTGATAGCACTTTGTGTAGCTTGCGATGTCTTTTGCAGGTGTGGGACTTCAATGGCCGCTGCCTCCACAGAATGAATGCAGGTCTGGGTCGGGCTGTGGACATCTCACAGGTCCTGCTGTTAAAGAGGAGCATACTGGTGATGGGCTGGGAAAGGTACTTAACATGAGTGATTATCTTTTCTTTAACAGTATTCATCTTCTGTTTCACTTCTTCAAATATTGAAAACTAAATAAATATTTTTGCACTCTGTATATGAAAGAGACTGCACCTGTCAAAAAGTCAGAAAGAGTATGTGAGAAATACTGTGTGTGTGTGTGTGTGTGTGTGTGTGTGTGTGTGTGTGTGTGTGTGTGTGTGTGTGTGTGTGTCTGTTCCTGCTCCCTCTGCCTGCCAAGGACTCAAAGCCAACCAGGCATCTGGACTCTAACGAGTCAGAACGCTCCAGGGTGCTACCAGTCACTTTAGTATCACTACCTCAAATGTATACTCTGTGTGTGTATGTGTGTGTGTGTGTGTGTGTGTGTCCTTCATCTTCATCAACATTTCACACCCTGTGAGCTGAACTCAGCAGTGTGCTATCAACAAGTAATACAATTCCCTCTGTCTCTCTCTCACACACACACACACACACACACACGCACACACACATGCACACACACACTTTCTGGCTCTCTGGGGTGTCACAGTGGTAAAGAGAACATGGACGACATATCAGCAGCAGTAAAAGAAATTACTGTTTCCTCACATCCACCTACACCACAGTTTAATCTATATTGTGCCGTATCGCATTGGCACCTATGCTGCTCATGCCATCTCATGCAGGTTGAAATATCCACATCCCATTGATTGACACATTCCTCAGTTTTAAACCATAGTGGATAATTTTTCCATTTCATGTCCAGTGGCTGCACAACAATAGAAAGCAATACAAGTACTGTCATGACACAGAGCAAAAGATTAAAGAGGTTGAACTCATTGCAGGTGTGCTAAACTCCATGGAAATTATGCGTATTAAAGTGTTTCATATGCATCATGTCTGCTGTAGCACTGTAGTGTACACAAACAGCTTCCAAATTCATTACTGCCTTGAGCAGGTAACAGAAAGTTTGAATCTGTTGCAGGGGATACTATAATTTACACTGGAATACATTATCCTAATGAAGCATTACAAAATAAAATGTATTAAATGTCAAATACATTCTCTACTCTACCGGTTCCTTCATTTTTCTCTCTGTAGGATTGAAAATCAAATGCCATTAAATGAAATGTCCCTCATTGGAGACACATTGTTCTACTACTCCTTCTACTTTCTACTATTACTGATACTAGTATTACTTCTACTGCAACTGCTACTACTACTATTACTATTACTACTATTACAGCTACTGCTACTACCACCACTGCTATTAGTACTATTACTCCTATTACTAATGCTGCTACTGCTGTCACTACTACTGCTATTAGTACTATGATTGCAACTGCAACTATTAATACTATGCTAGTACTGCTAGTACTTCTCCAACTATTACTACTACTCCTGCGATTACTATCAGTATTACCACTATTACTATTACTGAAATTACTTCTGCTACTCTACTATAACTATTACTACTGCTACTATGACAATTAGTGATACTACAGCTAGCTCTACTTTTAGTACTACTACTATTACTATTATTACTATTACTGCGATTGCTATTGCTACTGGTGTTACTACAACTGCTATTGCCACCGTTACTACTAGTACTATAGTTGCTACTGATGCTACTGCCATTGCTCTTACTGTTACTGCTAGTGCAACCTCTACAAGTATTACTACTACTACATTTCCTGTTACTGCTATTACCACCATTACTATTACTACTACTGGTATTATTGCACTACAGTATAGTGGTAATAATTAAAAAGTATAGTATTAACACCTCCTGAGTGAGAGTGTGTGGATGAACCAGGCTGTACATCAATATCTAAAGAAGTTCTACAAGGTTTGTGTCTGTGGTGCATTTTTACACACTTTTCTCTCCTCTGATTACCTCTGTCTCTCTCTGTGTGTCGCCCTCTCTGTAGGATGGTAACAGTTTTCCGTCTGCATTCCTTCTCGCAGTCTTTTGTTGAGCCCTCGGAGTGGAAGGGAGGCGTTCAACATCGTGGTGATTTGCTCTGTGCTGCCTTCCAGCCTCCACAGACTCTGGTCACAGGTGTGTATGTGTGTGTGTGTGTGTGTGTGTGTGTGTGTACGTACACATGGTAAGCACTTCTTATATGCTGTGTGTACTAAGTCAACTTGCCTTCTCACAGAAAAGTGCTTCTGCATGTGCACTCTTATTATTTTGGTGTGTTCTCCTTCCTTTCTAAATTACACTTTCATGACTTAAATTAAGAACGAGGGCTCATGCAGAGGAAAGAGAGAGACGATAAGAGGAAAAAAACAAAGGATGGGAAATAAAAATGAATCATAGAAAAAAAAGTCAGTGGAATGAAAAATAAGTGGGTGCAGTTATCTGCTGATTAAAGTAAGTGGTGTTGTTATCAAAGGACTCGAGCTCCACATGTCTCTCTCTGCTGGAAATATCTCTGTGTTTTTGTGTGTCTGTGCACATGCGTAGGCAGAAAGCGACTTAATATATTTCACAATCAAATGAATGTGTACTACAACTCAAACGTTTGTGAACACCGTGCATTTTAGCATTTTTGGTTAAATGTCAAACAATATTACAAATACAGTAAAAGTAGCAATTAAAACGGTGTAAGATCTGCCAGACCCTTTTAACTCAGAGTTCTTCCATTTTGCCCTTTGTTAGTATAAAAACCACATTACTGAAGTATACAGTAATTTAAATGTTTTTTTCTTCATAAATCTGTATTTTTCTATCTCAGGGGAACAACAGCTTCCATTTTCCATGTTGTGAGCTGATATTTGCCTCCACCACAGACAGAAATCCTTACATGTGAGAGCCTATTAATTGGCAAGTTCCTAATTAAATTTTTAATTAGAGCTCTATTAAAGGCAGATGAACTGGAAAGGTCAAGAAACATATAAGATGAAAAAAACATAGTGCTATAAATGAGGGATCAAGATCATTTCAAAATAAAAAGCTACAAACGCTTCTCATTACAGTTATTCCTATTCTTTACTTGTATTTTCACATTTTAATTTCTAATCTCTTCTTCTCTCTGTGTGTGTGTGTGTGTGTGTGTGTGTGTGTGTGTGTGTGTGTGTGTGTGTGTGTGTGTGTGTGTGTGTGGTAATCTAAGCATAACTAAGCACCACCCACAAAGAGCTTGCAGGAAATTTTCATCCTCTGTTTTTGTCTTGCCATTGTTTTTTGTTTGTTTGTCTGCACTAGTAATAGGTTGGACCAGAGGGAGTGGAGATTTTTAATTCTGCTAAGGGGGTTTTTGTTTGTGGATTGGTTTGTTTTGTTCATTTGTCCGCAGGATTACACTAACAGGAGGAGGGATGGGGCGTGGTCCTGGGAAGAGCTCATAAAATTTTGATGTTGATTGGGTTAAAGGGGCGGATCCAGGAATATTTCATTACATTCTTTCAACATTGCATTTTTCACCATTTCATAAATTTCTCAGGAAATAATGTTTGACTCTTGATGTAAAAAATCAGACACAGTAACAAAAGCGGTTGCGACACAGCTATGACGCAGTTCATATGGCTGTAGAGCTGTATAAATTGTATAAAGCAGATGTCTCAGACTACAGTACTACCTTCTTCATTTTATTTTTCAATTATAAAAGCTAGACAGACGTGTAGGATTGTTTGGCCTTGATGGAGGTTTGCCCTCTACTGAATGCTATTCTAGTTGTCCTTGTAGTCATCACGTCACCGAGGGTATTCATTTTGTAGTTTTGTTGCTACACAAAACATTTGACCAAAAAAAGCCTATACAATTATACACTAGAGAAAATTATCCAAGGTTAGCATCAAAAAATCCATGCGATCAGGCAACTGAGTGGCGAATGACTCAAATGGCAATGGCACACAAGTGAAATCATGGCACACATGTGAAATCAGTATATAGTAAAATCACACCAGCACTTATTAAAATGCAGAGACACTGGGAGCCTCTGGCTAATGGAAGAGCAGATGAGGAGTTTTCTGTCTTCGTTCAATCACTCTATTTTTTATTCCACGTCTGTGAGTTCATGCAGACTTTGAAACTTGTCTCCAAAGTTTGTGTGCATGTTTTTAAAGTTTTTCTTTTTGTTATCTTTTTATTAGTTTTTATGATTTTTGAGGCATTGGAATTCAACCCTGTAGCACTTTTGATCCCATTTAACAAACTTGAGCAACTCAAGACCAACAACCACCGAGGAACATCAACATCTTAACAAAAGATAGGTAAAGTGACTCAGTCTGTTAAGGTCTTTAATATGTGAAGACAGCATAGTTTGAAATACCAGCAATACCCCTCAACATCCATCACTTTTCTTGGATTTTTCTGCCTGAGGGATTGAACTGGCAATCCTCCAGTACCTCGTCCACTTCTATAACCATCAAACTACAAACACCCTGCACCCAATTTGCCCCACTATGCTCTTCAGTTTGTAAAGTTGTATCACTTTAGGTCACGTATCGAAAGTTCAGTTTCAGTTTACCAGTCTGTGCTGGCGGAGCGCAGACATAAACGGCAGACCTTCCCTGGCCTTTCGAGACGTATCAGCTCCAGAGATAAGTATAGAGAGAGATAAAGTGAGGGATGGAGGTAGAAAGGTAGATAAGTGCGGGTGTTCTCAAAGCTGGGAGGAGAAATGGTTTGGAAGGAAATGAACAGTTGGAGCTGGAACAAAAACACAATTCAGGAGCTACTTTGTGAAGTTGGAAACTTCAAAGTTTGCTCTTTAATTTCTTTGTCGGCGTGTTCAGCTTCTCTCTCTGTCTGCTTCCTCTCTTTTTCCCAGTCTCTAACTGACACTCCCTCCTCACTGCTGTTTATTTTTTACCTCCCTAGTTAGCCCGCTGCAATTCTTTCCCCACCCACGTATATACACACACACACCCACACACACACACACACACACACACACACACATATCCCAATGCTGCACCTTCCACCTCCAATTTAATCCAAATGCCCAATTTAAATTATGTTTATTAGAGCTCTCTCAATGGGAGTGAGGGGAAATGAGACAGAGCATTTGCTGTCTTTTAAGATGGTGTGTGTGTGTGTGTGTGTGTGTGTGTGTGTGTGTGTGTGTGTGTTTTAATGCTGCAGGGTGGGGGTTTGCATATGCTAGAAAGAGAGAATAAAATTACAGTGTGTGTTTATTTGCATAGGCCAATGAAATGTGACATTCTGGTTGCATTTTCTGTCTTAAACCAAATCAGTGACTCCTTTAGTTAATAGCTGATGCAAGAAATTGACAAATCAAAAACTATGATTGAATATTTTGCAGCCTGGCAGAAAGAAATCCCCATTTATCTGCGATTTCTTTTTTGTTCATTACCTGCTGTCACTCAGCCAATAGTGATGCTTCTCAAAGTCTGATGAATGAGTAAATAGTATTTTATATCATAAAAGAAATTGCACTACCTGATAATATCTTTGGAATAGAGTTGATGGTTTCCTCTAGAAAGACAGTAGATGAAATGAGCGTCTCCTTCATGAGCACTGTGTGGATATACTGTGGGGTACAGGTATATCCAGGTCAGCTAATGCCTTGTCAAAAAAAAAAAAAAATTCATAAAAGCATGCAATTCATTCATAAATTCCTCCTACGCTTTCATATCCTGTGCATTGCTTTCCCCTTCTCATTTCCCTTTGGGCGAATGTGGAAAAAAAAAAGGATGAATCACATTCACGTCCCGATTTCCTACATTTCCACACTTATCTTCGCACACACTAAAGCAAAAGGTTGATGTGAACTATATACTATGTTATTTTCTACATTAACTATTTTTGCAAAATTCTTTCTTCTCCAAATCCGCCGAGCACAAAGGCGGCGTCTAAAAGCGATGACGCATTAGTTTCAGTTGGCAGCATATTTCTTCGGGGTTGCAGCGAGTAATGCTGTTTTCACATCAAAGCATGCGTGCTGCCAAATTATGTGTTAGTGCCGCCAAGTGAAAGCAGTGGTGGCATTGTGGCCACCAGTGACAAAAGTTAATTTAAAGTTCTGTTGGACACACACACACACACACACACAGATGCTCAGGACTATGTGTGTGTGTGTTGTGTGTCTCTGTGTGTGTGTCTCTGTGTGTGTTTTTTTACATGCATGTGTTTGTTTGTGTCTCAAGTCGAATCAAGTTGCAGCAAGAACATTTGGCTGATGTGGGACTGAAGCCTCCTCATCCATATTCAGAGTCTTTGCTAGGTTCCGCTTGGCTTCTCACACACAGACACAGTCAAACACACACACACACACAGCAGGGTACATGTACGCAGGGTTCCTGTGTACCTCTTCAGTCACAACCTCCTCCTTCTCACGCTTCCTTCTTTCCTCGGATCCCTTAATCCTCCATGGCTGAACACCCTCCAAGAGACCAAGGACCAACTCATCTGAACTTTGATGGACAGCCAAAATGTTTTAGAAATGGAAATCAGAATACCAAATGACAGCAGGGACATCGTTTTCAAGCAGGGGATGCTCTGATCTATATATACTGTACATTTCAGATTTCTTTGTTGACAAGTTTGGGACCACAAGGGAAATTCCACTGATTTTACACACAAAGTCTGTTTACAGGTCTTGAGTAGTAGTCCACGAGCATGACACAACTGAATCTCCAACTGTTGGTGTTCGAGTTGCATTGTGAGGAATGTAGGCGCTAGGTTTTGACAAGAAAGAAGAATACATAGAGCAAGAAAGAGATTTTGACAATTTTGATACTTTTTTGAGGAGTGCGATGTTAAATTGGTGGAGTGATCCTTTAATGAAAAGGAGCTATGAGAGTCTGTTAGTGTTCAGCTGTAGGTACAGTACCTCCTTGTAGTCTGCGTCCTCCATTACTGAACATGTAGGGCTGTTTGCTATGGACACGATTTAATGTTAATCCATCTACATCTTAAAGCTCAAAATTGTGTAGGTGATGCAGATATCTACACTCTCTCATCCTCTCTATCCCTCTCTCTCTCTCTCTCTCTCTCTCTCTCTCTCTCTCTCTCTCACACACACACACACAGACACAGGGCATGATAAAAGTTGCTTGAAATACAGAAGCTGGCCCTGGGCTGCATGAATAATGCAGGCGACCCAGACTCTCATAAACTTTATACCTCCTATTGCTCTCACACATACACACCCGCCATAACACACCCCTCACACATCTCATTAACTCCTGCTGTTCAACTGTCGAACCACCTGATGAGATGCCCACCTTATATAATAAACGCACACAGACACAGATACACACACGCACACACACAATTTCTGATATATGAGAATTATTTGAAAAGCACTTTCTCTTGAGGTGACTGTTAAGGGTTGACTAGTGGAACAGATGGTAGCTGGGGACAGATGTTGACTTTTATCTTATTTAAAGTGTTTTTAGTGGCTGGCTTGCATGATTCAGCAACGTGAGGAAAGTAAAAGTGTGTGCGTTGACAAAAAGTTTTTGTGTAGACTGTATTTCTTTTGAAAATGTGATGTTTTCTTTCTCTGTGAAGGTACTCAGTGAATATGAGAGCTCATAAAGCTTTGGGAGTGTCTTTTTCCAATACAAAACCGCCATAAAGCAACATGCAATGTTAAGAAGGCTTCTGAGAAGTTCCCGCTTTTTGTTTCTGATGTGCCCAGGAAGCTACGATGGAGAGATTATAGTGTGGAACAACAGCACAGAAAAAGCTTTGAGGAAACTGCAGCCACATGCTGAACCCGAAAACGACAACAAACAGCAAGGTCTCACGTTCACAAATAACTTCAACAAGCACTTTATTCTGCAGTTGTGTAGTTTAATCTGTTCTGTATTTTCAAACGAGGGTGAAAAGTGCAACTCTTTAAAAAGACTAAATTATGTAACTGACTTTCCTTATTTTTTTCTTTCTCCGTCAATACTTTGCTCAACTCTTCTTTTCTAGGTAATTCCCCTGATTCTCATCTTAGTTTGAAAGGCAAAGATGACTCAGAGAGCTTCATTGCCATCACCAGACTGTTCTTCATACCAAGGCGCACATCTGCCGCTGCAGCTCCAGGTAAAATATAAAAAACTAAATATCAACTGCGTAGTAACTATCAGACTTAGACTATGTGTTGTTTGTTAAAGTAGGTTGTGGAACATATGGGAGATGTCACAAAATAACAGCGATGATTATAAAATAAATTCTTTCTACCCAAATAAATTCCGCATTTTGACTTCAGTGACTGGCCTGGTCTCACCGGTTTCATTTCATTTCATTCCACATCGTTTCTTTACTGACTAACCCCTAATCCTCCCCCTCCCCTAACTGAAACAACGTAAAATGACATGAAAAGCTTAAAATACATAGACACGCTACTGTCTCTGAAAGTGGCGTGCTCTTGAACCACAATCCCATGATAATACATAGCAGTGACAGTTTTGCCCCATTTAACGTGTCGTCATACCCATAAGATGTTGCCAGTTTTATTATTTCAATAAAACCTATGGAGATTTTGGCTTTTTGTTTCATAGACAGTAGTTTGAGCTGCTTTGTGGAAGCCTGTGATTTGAAGAGTTATAGCTGATGCAAATACAGTGAAGTTACTTCAGATAGTCGAAAGAGTTCAACAATCAAAAGCCTTTTTAATGCCAGATACACTGCATATTCTGCCTTGCTTTTGTTGTTGAAATACACAGTTGCACAGTGGCACATTACTATTTGTGTATTGTGTTTACAAATTACATAGACAGTAGGGCTGCAGTTATCTTTTCCTAAGATACTGTACAGCAGGGGTCCACAAACTACGGCCCGCGGGCCACATCCGGCCCGCCAAAGCAATTGGAGTGGCCCACTTAACGATCCCAGACAATCCCTCTAAACATCAACCAATTTTTATTAAATTGCATTTTCCTATCATAACATCATAACATATCCGTACTTAAAGGTTGGCATTCTAATTAAAATTGACCATAGTTACAAGCTATTTATAGTTAATAGTGGCTCATATTCACCTCCTCACACAATGGTATATTCTGACGTGACTTTGATCGTGACCGAGCCAGCGTCAAGCTGCAAAGTTCTGAGGTGGGAATCTGTCATGAAGGTGGTTGTGTCCTGCATAAACTTCATCAGAGCAAACGGACTTAAACACAGGCGGTTCCAAGCCTTTCTCTCCGAGCTAGAATCAGCCCACGGAGACGTGCTTTACCACACTGAAGTCCGCTGGTTAAGCCGGGGAAGAATTTTGAAGCGTTTTTACGACCTGCTACCCGAAATCAATAATGAGAAATGACCCATGGCGGCCCGCCGGTGCC